GTCTCGTTATATCTTCTGTGCTCCACAAAATGTTATAGCCTCCGTTCTTCAGCCCCAGCGGATTAAACCAACTATTGTTGAACGCTAAATATATTTTACAAGCGTTTCCAAATCCAATCCCCTGGATTAATTAGAATACGAAATAATTATTTAGCTTAGCAGCAGCAAAGAAAAAATATACCTTAATGTTTTTGACTTTGTTTTCCGGTAACGGAGGATTAAACATTGTTTCGTGGTCCGCCTTAAGCACTCCTAAAGAAGGTGTCATGATAACGTGATCGGCTGTGTGCTCCTTTCCGTCGTTCGTGATCACTTTCACGGTTCCGTCTTCGTTTGAGTAATCGACTTTCGTTACTTCCACGTTGAGCATCGTTTTGTTTAACACAGGTAACTCCTCCTCCGGGTTTGGAAATTTTTTCTGTCGGGAGATTCAATAGTTAATTGCGGCTTACGAATAAAGAGATCGCATACAGACCATTAATATGTCGAGAATAGTACTGTATCCTCGTTCCTTCCAATTTATGAGTAGGTGTCCTGTGGCTTCTGCATTCTCTAATTTTTTACTCATCTCGATGTCGAACCACGTATCAGCAGGTTGCAGACTCATCTCCATGAGATTGTATTGCCGCAGAAATTGATCCTGCAGTGTTTCATTCAATTCCGGTATTTTCTTGAAATGCTCTTTGTACCTAATGGGATTTATCATCTTAAGTTAGAACATTTACTAGCATCGTCTGTCATATTTTTTTATTTTAGGTATGGATTCAGGATGGAGAGATGATATATATAAGAATCCCATTTCTGACAACAATTTGTCCGAAAATGGCAGTCCTATTTTAATTTAACAGTGTTATTCGAGACTAAGGTTCAATGTTAGGGATAGAAAAACATTGAAAACCATTTTTCACATCAAAATACCCATTTGGTTTAATGGAAAACAAACAAAAGTTTATTCGTATCAATTTATTTCCTTCTGTTAGCAATCGTTTGACCGTCGATGAGATGCGTTTCAAACTCTTTCTATCCTTTAGGGATGTATTGGCTATATACTATACTGTCAATCCCAAAAATTTATGCACATTAAAAAAACGCATTTCCTATAATTAAAAAGATATAAGACGTCGAAAGAACAATGATTT